CAGTACGATTGCTCTGCCCTCCCCTTGCCACCCACCTCCCGCCCCACAGCCCAGCCCAGGAGGGCGACATCCCCCTGCCACACTCTGCCAGGCAAAGCTGAGCTGAGCTCCGGGAGCTGCAGGGGTGACCATACTATTTCTGGTGTCCAGAAAGAGGGCAATCCTCAGTCACAGGGTGAAAACTCTCTTTGCGGAGAAGATAAGATAGGCTCAAGCTTTTGGCTTTCAGACAACCCCACAGCTCATTTGCAAGCCTCCATCACCCAAAACACCATCTCCTCCAGCTGAGTGAGGGCACAGACCTTCCGAAACAAAGCCTCCAGAGATGATATCCTTGCAAGCAGGAGACAGGCATCGCCAAATCTCAGCCCCATGTCCCACACTATGGAGGACCGCATGCCATGCCCTGCTGTTCCAGGGATGCTGCCAGGGCTGGGCTGCTGCTGCCAGCTATGGCCCAGGGAGGGACCCCACTGCTGCTGCAGCTGAAGCAAAACACGACGCCGGTGGCTGATGCAGCTGCAGAAATAGAGCAGCACGGCATGCCACCGGCTCTGCTGCTGCGGCCCTGGATGGGGCAGGGCTCAGGCTGTCACCCGCTGCCAGGGCAGGCGGCTGGGGGAAGAGAGGGGCCGGGTGTTTAGGGAGCCCCCGGGGAGCAGCTGGGACCACCTTGGAGATGATGATGAGGACGGAAACCCAAGGTGGCAGCATCAGGGGTGTCTGGGGATTGCAATGCCTGGCAAAACACCCAGACAATGTTTTGGGGAGGACCTAAGAGACCTGAATGCCACTGACCCCACATCAGACCCGAGGCGGCGGTGTGCAGAGAAATGCCCACACCCCATGTCCTCTCCTCCCTCACCCCGCAGACCAGGGGCTGGCTGCCCTCTAAAACCAGCTGAGCAGGGCCTTATGGCCATTACAGAAAGCAGGGGATTAACCACAGGGCTGAGCCCTGGCTGGGCTTCCAACAAGCTCCGTGATGGCTCAGTTCGGTCAGGGTAAATAAGGAGGTAGAGAAGCCACCAGACCACAGACCTGCACTGTGGCACGTCCCTGCGGCTTTGCAGAGCGGCCAAGAGATCTAAGGATGCAACATCTAAGGATGGTTGTCCCCGACTTCCCAACCTGCCAGGGAGCAACAAGTAACCAAAGGAGCAGGTGTTTTCAACACTGTTTGCCGGGGTCTACGAATAGCCGGCGCAGCCCGAAGCTATGCGCCGTGTGCTGTTCATAACAGCTGCAAGCCAGGCTGCAAAACCTGGCTGGCAACGGAGGAGTTTTAGTTAAGATGACATTTGGAATTAGAGGATGTGACAAAACCTTGTCCATTGGGCACCTCTGCCCCCACAGGAAGGTATTTAAAATCTCTTCTTGCCTCTCGCAAGGACTGTCTGGTTGCACGTGCAGAAAAAATCCTGGTCAGAGCACTTGGGCCAGTGCTTCCCCTGTGCCTGCTTCCCCCAACCCCGAGGAGAGCTCGGTGGCTTCAAGGAGAAGTGTCCCCAAGTCACGCTCCCTGTTCCCAACCGGGCTTGGGCTTGTCTGGGATCTTTCCCATTGCCAAAAATCACCTGCAGCCCAGTGAGGGCTGCCCTGGGAACAGCAGCTCTCAGGGGCTCGCCAGTGGTTTGAGATGGAGGGATGGAGGGATGCCCACAGCTGGAGGAGCGCTGAGTATGGAGGACGTCTTTAGCTCCCCATGATGGTCAGCGTGTCCCCAGAGACCACTCGACACATGGGGAGAGGGAAAGAAGAAGCGGTCTGCGCCCAGGCCACCTTCTCCTGCCCCCCCTCCTCTCCCTCAGTTTTGCCTTAAATACCAGCATCTTAATTCAAAATCCTTAAAAATGCCTTAAAAGACTAGCTTTAATTACTAAAAAAAAATATTGCAAATTGTGATTATTGAGCTGATGTAGGATAGCACTGGGAACAGGGCAGGTTTTCCCACGCCATCCCACCACCACAGGCTGCGGGCAGGGAGACAGGCAGCTTGCCCTGAAAAGTATGGCTTTGCTTAGTTCTAAATATTTTTTTTCCCTACCTAATGTGAACTGCAATTAAAACTGTTTTCCTCATCACCATGGAAACAGTTTGGGTTTAAAGGATGCTGCGGCAGGAAGAGGCCGCCAGCACGGGGACCATGCGGGGACGAACGCCCATGGGCAGGACGGGGACAGGGCTGGGCCACTGGTGGGAAGCAATCGAGGACTGATTTATGGTTTGATGGGACCCGAATGCTTACAGCGCTGTAAATCCTAAGCAACGCCTCTGGTTTTTTACCACTGCAACCGAGAGTGGAATTCGATCTGCCACTTATTCCTTGCCAGCGCCTTGGTGCGGACGGTGTTACACTACGGATACCGGTTAGGGTTCATAGGATCGCCAACTCTCCCTTTTGCCATGAGTATCAGGATTTTTTCCTGTCCTCCCCAAATCCCTTGCTT